TAGGTGTATAATAATCCTCTTAAACAATTATTTACTAATTTTAGGTTTATTTCATTAGTGTTTAAACGAGACAGTCATTTTACATTTAGCTGCATATTTTTCAAATTTCTTAATACCTGCTTGTAGCAAATCAATCTACGATAGTTTATATTTTTTTATGGATAATAATGGAGTGGTAGACCTTAGATTTACACTAGCGAGGAGAGTGAAGAAGTGATGAAGTAGTGAAGAATATTAAGATGAGTATGAGGTCAGGCCATAGTGACTTTATCATTTCATTTTCCATGAAAGCCGCGCAGGAGTTCAACCCAACATGGTACATTGCTAGTAATGGATTATTAGTCCACATTACTAACAATCTCTTTCCCCCCCAGATAGTTTGTATGCTTAATTTTAATTTTATATCCTTAATTATAGCTAGCATCAACCACCATCTGCAACCTAACTATGGTTAATTACCTAACTATGGGTAATTAAAATCATTACCTATCATAATATAAAACTAAATTATTGTTCATTCTTTATCGCAGTTAATGTCTCTTTATAAAAGTGGTAGTGTTGACAACTCACAGACTAATAATTACTATTTCATTAACTTAAAATATTTTCACGTAGCAACCAGATAATAATGTGTATAATAAAGTTATTTTTAAGATTTATAACCCACCAACGAAATTACCCACAATTCAATATATAATTTGTATTTACCTTCATTATCTATGCTTATAAAATAGTAAAATTACTATGATTGGTTGCTTTATTGCGGTCCAATTTTACTTCAATACACAAATACCAAACTCATAACCTTAAGGTTGTTCTTATCTGCCAACAAAATGCCTACTGGCATGTCTATAACAATATACAAGTGGAAGCTACCACGACCCCACATTGAATTTGAGTGGCCAATGTCGAGAGCAGTACGGAATAAGGGCCTCGGTAAGCGATATTTCAAAAGTCGCCTCAAGAAAGTCACCGTGGAACAGAGCACTCCAAATCGTTGGAAATTTTACTACAATTCAAGCAGTTGAGTTAGACAAAATGATGTTTAGTTTTAACTTAAATATTTTCGAGAACTCTTGAGAAATTATATTAATGTTCTTAATTAACTTATATTAAAAATAATCAATTCTTCCAAAATTTTTGGAAATAAAATGTGAAAAGTTTGTCTGTATTAATAAAGACTATTTCAGTATATTAATTAAGAAGCAATGTTGAGAATATTTGTGCTTTATATTAGTCGTAATTATATTCTTTTATAAAACCTATATCTATTCTTGTTCTCTATATCTCTTGTTGTCTTTGTATTTTAGAAACAATACTTGTATTATACTTCTCATCTCTTTTAGTTTAAATGATAAACATTAATTCCTGACCTAATATACATTGATATTTCCATCATCAATTCTAATATTCCTAGTATTAGCTAATTGCAAGATGCTAATACATAAAACACTACCTGTATTACAATATAATAAATAAAAATGATAGTGCAATAATTTATTACTAACATATAAAACCCAGTAGCAAACATAAACTGGAAAGAAGGGAAAAAAATATTAATATAAAAAAATACGTTCATAAGTGGTTAAAACAGCCTGTGTAAGTTATTAGTATTAAAAACGGTTGATAAAAAATACATTCGAAATAAAATTGTCGTTGTTTCAAAAGTTAGTTGATAATATAGAACTCACTAAGTACAGTGTACACACATATTTATTGGTGCTCTTATATGTATAACATGTGAAAATGTAAAGGTCTTGACTACATAATAACAGGTCTAAAATTCCATTAACTACAAACACGCACTAATAGCATTCGTAACAAAAATAGAATTTTGAATCCAAACACCTTTCTATCAAATTAGCTTTCCACGTTCATTATACTTTCATTATTCGATTGGCTGGTCGTAATGGTTTTACACCCACCTCTTAGGTAAAATAAAAGCATTCATATGTGTAAATGAGATTCAGATGTATTTAATGAATTTTGGAACCGTAAATATTTTTGATTTCAAGTATTTAAATTTCGAAACTAAGGGCAGTTTGCTTTAAGAGATACAAAACTTATATTTAAATATTCCAATTTTATTCTATGTCAATTTTGTTGTAAGAAGCGTGTTTAATATGTTAGACACAAAATCGTCCGCGTTGTTAGCTCTATGTTACCTTTGTATATATTACTACCGCTAAGCAGTTGCTTTGTAAAATGTGTTATGTATTGAAAGGTGACATATGGCATTTAAATACAGGATACAGAGATATTACATATCAGTCCTCGGAAGTCAACGTATGGAAAATGTGAATGCGATGTGTGATGTTCAAATATATAGGCGATTGTTGCAACAGATTTCCAACAAGTGAGCTGTCAGCTAAAACTATAAAGATCCATTAGAACGCTATAGACTCATTTTAATAAATAATATCTAGTCAATAGAAAATAGACAAATGATTTGTAATTAACAAATGAAGTTCTCATTTGTTGTTAGTGATCTCAGCATAGAAACAGACCAAATTTATATACTCTTAGTGGAAGAGGCAGATTAAACTCCCTGGCAGTAGATTTAAGTTCGTTTGGGTCCAAGGGCTACCGAAAGCCACGTTAATTGTTAACGGCACAAGTACATTTAGATTAGTCTGAAGAGTATAAACTCCATTATATTTTAAAACGTTGTTAAATATAATATAATCTGGATGTTAATTTAAATTGTTTGTGATGTAAGAGACTGTACAGTCTATAAATACCTACCTGTATTGTATATATGTGTTTCATATTATTTTTAATAAACTTAGTTTATTTATTCATTACTAGTATAAAGTACATTTGTAGACATCTTCTATGGACGATAATCAAACTATAACCTATATTTTATAAATTAATGAATTAATAAAATGGTAGATTACATATAAACATTATTAATTAAAGGCGGTATTTTATTCTACCCATATTTCACACTGGCTGTGAAAATTTTATCTTAATTCTTTCAGCCGTTTTTAAGTGAAACATTATCACTTAAACAGAAATATCCGATTTAGAATATTGAAAGCGAAATTAGAGATTAATAATATTTCCTCTATGGTCTTTAGAACCACATGTATACAAATTAAATAGTTTTATAACAAAATCAATCTCAATATTCCATTTAGATAATATTTTTAGAAATTGATAAATGAATGTTTATAAAATTACTAATGAATAAAGTAAATACCATTTTCTAAATTAGTAAATTATTATTCTTTATATAAACAATTTCATTATCTTTATCTTACTGTTACTAAGTACCTAATTATCCGTATCTAAATACGACATAAATCTCATAGAATAGAATTGTTTTGCGAGTTGATATAGAGGAAGATTTATTATGAAGAAACCGTTCCGTGAAAAATGTTGTTATATGAGGTTAATATACGTGCGAGTAAAGCAAAAACGCTATTTTCTATATAAACCGAAAGTATTATTTTTATTTTATTGCCATATACGTTATTCAGTCACATACGATTTGTCATAACATCTAAATACTTATGCTTCTATAGAATACGAGTATATACACGTGTATAGTATTAGCAGAGGTTATTTTTAAAACAACATTATTGTGGAATCATCATATACCAGTATATAACATATATAAAGCTGTTCGAGTACGAGAAATTTATTGTAATGGTAAAACGCAGATTGTATATCTATATATTACTATTACTTTTATGGGGAAAATAATGTATAGTTAAAAAATACTTTGTCATGATGAACCACTAACGCCCTAGAAGGCTAAACGCTAAATTTAGAAGAATGAAATTTGGAACCTAGGTCAATTTATATACTCTTAAATATTTTCTTAGCACGTCACTAAATATGCTCCCAAATTAATAAAATTTAATAGAATAATATTTTTAGATATTTAATTAATGTTTATAGTTATTGGCGTCTGTATATAATTACAGTTATCGCACGGAATCAATTAACTGTACAGAATAATTACGTACGGTTTCTATTTTTTCTGAAACTTTCTAGCAAAAATTTAGTACAAAATACATTCAGAGAGTGTTTCTCAGCGGACGCCAAAGTTTTTTTAAAATTTTCAAACAATATGAGATCTTTTTCTTTAATGTCACTGAGTTCCAATAGCAGTCGTTATTAATTAAAAGCTACTACAATGAACATTTTTGGCTAAATAATATTTCTTTATAATTAAGATCTTAAGCCACATCGTGTTAACTGATGAAGCAACGCACACAACAATTTCCACATCCAATTACTTATTTGGAATACCAGTATTAAGATGGAGTCTCATCTTAAAAGCCCAAGACTCTATTCCTATTAATATTATCTTTGTCTTCTTGACTTGAATGGAATTGATCTATATTCAATTGGTAGTTAGTGTATTTGTAATACACAATTTATTGTTCGACTCGTTTCATGGTTATATTAACATTGGCTCGACGAATACTGAACACAAAGCATTACCAATATTTAGATACGTTCATTAGTCCTGTTACAGTTCACATAGTAACAGACAATCTTAATAAAAAAACTTAAACGTCCTTTCAATTACTATTTTTGTTAAATTACAAAAACTCGAATGTAGAGCATCAACAAAATAATTCAATAAAATAGGCTTATTAGACTTTCCAGGCTTTACTATAAAGGGTTAGTCAATTTACAATTACAATTATTACAGGGAGCGATAACAAGTTCTTTAATATTAGAAAATCAATAACGAAGTTTAATCACCATAAAGTTAGTATGAGAACAGATAATATAATGTATGTATAAATAATATGTGCTACAGATTTCGGTTACGGCATGTTCCAGCTAAGAAAAAGGCAATAAATATTTTTTGTTGTCAAAGTTTGCAATGAGCGAAATATTCTTGAAAATATATATGAAATATGTACATGTCTTTAAATGTGGATATCTTACGATTACTATGACGTCAACAGTTAACTACCCAATGTGGATTTACAGTAATGGAGGTACCTATATTCATGTAAGAATTTTGTTCACAGTTCATCAGCGAGCGAGCTGATCTCGAGACGTGGCGTATTCTCCCGAAGACAGTATGGATCCGTTGAACAGGTAATTAGCTATCAATAACGCCAAGTATTTATTTATAACTATTTTTATATGAATTAATGGTAAGCGAACTGGACTTAAACAGAGTTTCTAATATTACAAACTGCAGTACAACTCCCCTTATTCTTCTAATGCATTGCCATTTCAGAGGACAAAAATATTGTATCCTACTGGTAATTTCACTGTTATATTTCATCGTCGTACAAACAAGAATACAGTTAGCTTAGCAAGCTGCTTGTTCACATGTACAGGAGATTTTACATTTTACGGGGATTATATAGTCAGATAGATAGATTTGTATATTAATAATATAATAGCTAAACTAACTACTTATTGTAAGATAATATAAAATTGAGTAGGTTTTTGCACAGGGTTTTCGATTAATTTTCACGAAACCATAACGAATTGAGTAAGATGACGATACATTTAGATGTAAAACTAGATGGAAATCTATTCAGTCCTTTTTGTGGTTATCGCAAACACCCAAACAGACGCGGCGGGCTAGTTTGTTTTATAATATGTATAGATACAAAACTAGTTTTTTTTATCTCTCGCATACAGTACGGCCAGGTACGACCTATCTTTAACCCCTATAAATTCTGCCAAATCCTATTCCCAAATAAGCGTATCTTAGATACGCTTTTACGAGTACTTTTCGCAGAATTTATACGACTGCTAATTTATTTGTATTTAATTTCATTCCGAATTTCAAATATCAATTCGTTCTTTTTTTATATTATCTTACATTTCCATTAGCAATCCGAATTGAGATACACCTATTTCTTTCATTTCAATTTGAATTGGTCCCCTTTTAAGGTTAAAGCCAAACAAGTCTAATATGTTCCCTTTAGTGAACCACTAAAGGGAATAAATATAAAGAATCTTTATAGGATCAAACGGTTCATGTTTACGATTGATTTAATTGAATTTTTCTATAAGCATCCGTGAAATCGTCTAATAATTATCTATTGGTGATAATGTTAAAATTCAGTATTATTATATGAAATTTGTTACTATTTTTATTTATTTCTATTCTGATTCTACATTTTACTGAAACACAGATTTAATAGGAGTTAGTAATATGATAAATATAATTAACGAACATAATTGAAATCTCTCCTTTGCCATTTGTACTTACACAACTAATAAATATAAAAAGTCTAAAAATGTATTAGTAATTCCCCCTGTGTTGTTATGAGAATGCTCACAGTTGTCTGTGCATCTACTACCTCATATTCATATGTACACGTCATCGTAACATTCAGTCATGAAGAAACTGCAATTAATTTATTATAATGTATATCGTATTAATAATACTGATAATTATAACCCGGGACAATCCACACAGCACTATCTAGTTCCAAGCTAAGAGTTTATGTTATAGATACTAGACAACTTATATAAATCCTGAAACATTTTTTCTTGTTGTACCTACATATATAATATTCATAGATGTTTCTATACCTTATTTCTGTCTCCTACCAATACCAGCAATCATACTCATGAATACAAATGTTTGCACCATCTGAGGAATCTAATTTGTCACAAATTGTGATCATCTGAAAATAAAGCTGTGTGGTAAACGGCTAGACCACCGAGACCGTCATCCAATTAATTAGCAATTAGTTCCTGAAGACAAATTAAGTGGGATCAGTACAAATAAAAGCAAAATTATTCTCTCATTTGGCTTTTTAACGCTGTACCACAAACAATGGAACAATTATACGTATGCTAGTATTTTCCTGCTAGCAATCCATTTAAAATTGGGTTTTCATTACAAAAGCAACGCTAACGAACGCAAAAAAGTTTGAGTAGGTCCCTTGTTACTTCCGAGTCTTTGCAACTTGTAATAATTAATCTTCTCCATTCGGCAGAATGGGACCGTTTTTTGTACAATCATTTTAATTATGCAAGTGAAACAGAAGGCTCTTTTCCATATTTCCGAAACTATAATAGAAGTGTCAGTAATTAACAAGTAATAAAGCCTAAGAGGCTATTAACTCAAAAATAGCGTTATTCTAGGATATCCATATATATAGCTACTTAGCATTATTCACTATGATTATAAATACCACTTATAGATTGAAATAAAAGATATAAGTAATTAAAAAATAAATGTTTTTTTCCCGAATTTAATTAACTTTGTTTCGTTTCGTTAAACCTCTTAATTGTTATTCACCCCAGTTTACTCAAACAAAACTGGGCTTTTTTCTGTTTACTTAAACCATACGTATAAAACTAATTTCCGAGAAAAACGGAGCGACGATATTTGACTATCGAGATATACTAAGCTTTTAAAATACTAGAACTGAGGAAATTGGAATCTCTTCTAGCTTTGGGATGTTCATGAAAACATTATTTACCTCCAATTTCAATCCTACTTTGATAAGACTAGAAAACTAATATTATGCGGGATATTAAAAATGTACGTATATGATAGAATAGAATGTTTAGCTAAATTTAAAATAATACATATTACAAGCAATAAAGTGAACTATTCGCTCGCAGGCAAAATCAGTACATAGAACAATTTTAAAAATATATATATAAATATAAATTCATAAAATAGAGTTAAATTAAAAATAAAACACATTACAATAACAATAAAGTGAACTAACTTCGATTACAGGCCAAAACAATATATATGATGGTATAATTTGATTATGGAATAGAGACTAACATAGACTTATTGGTTGTTAAGAAAACTATCGCATTTTTATGTATCTTTTAGTTGTTGTAGAAACAACAACTACTAGAGGTGCGAGTGTTGCTCGCAGTTTGATTGTGATTTTATTTTATTAATATTCGTAATAATTATTAAATTCACATATTTATTCTTAAATAATGATATATCTTTTGGATTAGCGTATAAAATAGCCCAATATGTGCCTGGTACAACACTACATTCAATGACTCTTTATGATGCCAAAGACAGACACATATGTAGAAACATAATCGGAGGTAAGCTGATAGTGCTGAGCATGATGACCTACGACCTTCAATAAAGAGGAAAACGGCTTCAAAAGGAAGATATTACATTTTTGTTATTATATTATAACAACTTACTTACTAATTAAGTACACTATTTTCTGTGTAAATAATTGATTCTCATATTTTGTTATTACTACCCCCATATACAAATAATTATTACGTAATACATAAGAAAAATTGTTAATGTTACCCGTAATTGTATAATATGTTATATATATATATTTATATATATATATATATATATATATATATATGTATATATATATATATACATATATAACAAATTTCATCTAAATGACTCGGCTGACTCTCTCCTCAATAAGAACTAGAAATCTAAATTCGTTTTAATTAACGTTTTCTTGTAGACACAAAGCCGCGCAGTAGGGTGAAATATTTCTACAATTAATTAGTTTGATCTCGTTTTCGGACCATGATCCTAAAGAGCGAAAGAGTAAGAGCAGTGCCCGTTTATTTTTTTAGGACTTTTCCGAAATAATGATATTTAAATGTAACAATGAAAAGTTGAAATAAGTCGGCCGAAACAATAAAATTGATTGCTTGTTGAACTGTAGTTGTACATACCTATGTGAGTATAATAGATTGTTTTTATTATTAAGATTTTCTTCAGGAATATTATGTGAAATCTGTATGAAAACTAATACCGTATCCAAAAATATTATCTATAAAATTCCGACGCGTTTAAGTTTATACGTCCGTTCATTTTTACTCAATACAAAATAATTTTGAAATTAGCCCAATTCGGCGATCAAAAATGAACAACCTATAAGTATATTAAACAGTTATTCGTAATTTGTTTCACTTCAAATGTAGTTTAGTTGTTTTCAGCGTTAATTAACAACAAGCAAACTAAATTGAACTAAACTGCGGATAGACTGCTACATGCGAAACAACTTGATTAATGCTGTAAGCTGAGTTCGAAAAGTTTAAGTTATGTTAGTTGTTCAAGCAGGTAGTTGTATATTGTTAAGAGGTATTGATAATTCAGGTAAATAAGGAATGTTAATTACATTTCACTAGACGCGATGTTATAAATATGTTCTAATAATAAAATAATAAACTATTAAACAGATCACTAAATGTTTCGTCTTTAATCTAGGAAACACTATATTTTGAAGATAAAAGGTAGTAAATAAAACGAAAACACATTTTCACGGAATTTGATAATTCTTTAACTCCGAAGACATGACTCCTTTACTCGCTAGAACCACCTACATGTACCCATAAGATAGCGCCGAAGGTGAAACCTACAAAGAAATCAACATTCATAGAATAGTGGGGTGAAAAGATAATCCAGAAACATAAACCGGAGACTTGACGATCGCTTACTTCTTTAAGCTCTTCAACTTAGATCCACTATAGAAAAACTAAACACAAAAGAGACTCAAGGAATGACTGAAGATTTCAGTTATTATTAAATTAGTACTCCTACTATAAATCAAAATTATAGAAGTAGAATGAATGAGTCTATGTTGTTACCCATGGAATAAAAATAAATTGATATATTTCCCAACGTTTGGAATTACAAAACAACATACCGTCAAGACTGTTATTCCAGTTGAGATAGTCAGAGGCATTGTCAACTGTCCATGTTGTAGTAAACAACACTTAACATAGGTACCCGCATTTCGCTGTGTATATTTGAATCCAACATAAGCAAGGGAGCGAGCCTACTGCCTGTTGTTTTATTATTTGTTTGATGTTGTCGTCTCCTTAACCGGAGAGTATGTCAAAAATTTTAATTGGCACACAAAGTTTCTTTTGTACTTCGTTATAATTCAGTTTTGTAATCCTCTATCCCACGACGCAGTGTCACCTTATTTATTAATAAGGATATTACGATCCCCAAATATGAAATACTCCATTGATATCCATAGACGTAGAAGTACTATGTATGTCGTCAGTTACTGTTTTGTTTATCGTTGTATGACTGATTGTTTGCAATTGAGTATATATGCGAATAAAACATACTAACGCCGATTTAGTGTTAATTA